GACTTCCGGTTCATGGGCGCCGCCATTTTGGAAGCGCTTCAACTTCCCCATGGGCGCCGCCATGTTGAGGGGGAAAACCGGAAGTACCGATATACAGAGCCGCCATATTGAAAATGGGAAACTTCCGGCGAATGGGCGCCGCCATGTTGAGCGGACCGGAAGTGTTGCTGTGTGTGAGCCACCATATTAACGCGACGAACCGGAAGTTCCCCATGGGCGCCGCCATGTTGAACTCGCACGCCCCCACCCCAAATTTTGGGTCCTAAACCCCTCCCCCACCCCCAAAATCACCCAAAATTGGGTCTAAAATCTCTGAAAAAAACCTAATTTCTCCCTCCCAAAATTATCACATCCCCAAAATTCTGAGAATTCCTAAAAACGCGGGAATTTCCCCCCAAAAAAACCAAAGAAACTTTTTTTGAGCCAAAATTTTTTATTGTCAGGACCCCCTTGAGGACCCCAAAAAATCCGGGCAGTGTCACCTGCAAAGAGAAAAAAATAGGGATTAATGTGGAATCCTAAAATCCGTTCAAAAATTCCTAAATTTGAGTAAAATTTGACCAAAATTTGAGTAAAATTTGACCGAAATTTGACAAATTTGCCCCAAGATTTTGATTTTTGGGGCCCCCTCAGACCTCCCCGGGGTCAAATCCTGGGGGGGGCACGGGAATCCTCAGGGGGTGTCAGAGCCCAGTGCTGCCATCATGGGGGGCCCCAAAAAACCCCAAATTTACCCCAAAATTGACCTAAAATCCCCTTTAATTCCCTCTAAATTCCAAAAATCCCAAAATCCCCCCAAAATTCACCAAAAAATCTCCAAAAACCCCATTTTAACCCTCAAAAATCTCTTTTAAATCCCAAAAAATTCACTTTAAATCCCAAAAAAATTCACTTTTAACCCCCAAAAATCCACTTTAAATCGCTCTAATTTCACCGAATTTTTTCCAAATTTTTCCTAAACACTCCCAATTTTTTCCCAAACTCACCAAATCTGATAAAATGATAATTTTTATATTTTTTGTGCTCAATCCTCCTCCTCGTCCTCGCCGCCCCCGGAGCCCCCCTGGCCCTTTTTGGCGTTTTTTCTCTTCACTCTCCCTGAACTCCCCAAAATCCCCAAAAATCCCCCAAAAATCCCCTTTAACTATTCTAAACTCCCAAAATCCCAAAATCCTCCAAAAATACACTTTAAATCCCAAAAAAACACCATTTTAACCCTCAAAAATTTCTTTAAAATCCAAAAAAATTCACTTTAAACCCCCAAAAATCCACTTTATATCGCTCAAATTTGACCAAATTTTTTCCAAATTTTCTCTAAATATCCCAAAACTCACCAAATTTGGTAAAACACCAATTTTTATATTTTTTGTGCTCAATCCTCCTCCTCGTCCTCGCCGCCCCCGGAGCCCCCCTGCCCCTTCTTGGCGTTTTTTCTCTTCACCCTCCCGGGGCGGCCGCCGCCGTAGGGGGATCGAAGGGAGAAGTCGATGTGTTTTTGGGAGTCCAAACGCACGATGAACGAGGGAATGTTCACCACCTGCTTCCTCACCCTGGAATTTGGGAAAATTTAAAAAAAATTTGGGGTTAAAATTCCAAAATTTGACATTTTTACACCAAAATTTGCAGATTCGGGAGCGAAAAAATGAGATTTTTATGGCTTTTTTATGGTGTAAAATGGGATTTTTGGGGTTGGGGTGAGGGATGTTCACCACCTGCTTCCTCACCCTGGAATTTGGGAAAAAAAAAAAAAATTGGGGTTAAAATTCCAAAATTTGGGGGTTTTACGGCAAAAAAAATTTGGTTCCAGAGCTCGGAGAATCTGCAGGAAAATCGATGGGGAAAAACCCCAAAATTTGGGGGATTTGGACCAAAATTTCACCTGCAAATGCCCCAAACCATCCCAAATTTATGCAGAAGGGGTGTGAAAATGTGTTGGACCTCAAAATTTGAGAAAAAAACCCCAAAATTTGGGTCAAAATCCTAAAAATTTGAGGCAAAACTTTCGCGAGATTTGGAGCAAAACCCGTGGGAAAAACGCAAAAATTGGGGAAAAAAACCCCAAAATTTGGGATTTAACCCCAAAATTTCTGACTGAAAATTTGCAAACCATCCCGAATTTGTCTAAAAATCCTAAATTTGTCCAGAAATGTGGGGTTTTACCTGGCTGTGCACCCCTTCGCAAGGTGTACGGCACAGCCGCAGTGAGCCTTGCCGACTGTTCCCGTTTTGGGGGTTTTTTCACCCAAAATT